CTCCTCGGGGACCCTTAGGGTGGTCCCGGGGAGTCGTACCCGAACGTTTTGATCCTAAAAACATTTATTAAGACACTAGGGTCACCTCCACTTATTTTAGACTCCGAACAACCCATAAAAACATAAACAACATACTAGAACACACCAACACGTAAAAGACTAGTTTCCGAACGTCTTGGTCGTCCCTTGACGTTTGACTTCCAAACTCTTTAAAACTGACTTAAAAGGCTATTCTTTATTATTTTGACAAGTTATTAATGCATAAAACCCATGTGAGGCTCTACTTTATCCTACTTTATTTTGAGGGTCGTTACAATACTGCAACCTACACCATTGATTTTTAGAGTACTTCCTCCATTTTTATTTAAGTAATTTAATTTGATTGAGTATAAAATTTAAATATTTAAGAGATATTTTAAATTTTATAATTTTATAATCTTAAATTAAATATACATAGTTATTCAAATTTTATGATCTTAAACTTGTCTTAAAATATTAAAATTGAAAAACTTACTAAAGAAAGAGATTTTTTGAGAACAAACTAAAATAATAAAATAAAATAAGACACTTAAATTGAGACATGAAAAAACATTATATAATACCCCAAACAGCCAAACTCAAGTCCTAATAAATTTGCAAAGGTTAAAGTATTAATTAGCTCGTTAAATCACTTGTATTATAATAATAAATAAAATACAAAATGAGAAACAGAAAAAGGAAATCCATCCTGAAAACAATGTGCTGTATATACCTTGTAATGGAGAACTCCTTCAGATTAAAACAAAATCAGTTTTTGTATTGTTTACAGAAGAATGAAGCCACCTAAACTCTACATGCTTGAGTGTTAACTTTATTAGGTGTAACTCAGCATGCTTTCATAGCCATGCAAAGTGCAATGTGTCAATCCTTTCCTTACCTCTCCTTCCTATAAATACCATCACTTCCCATTCTCCACTTCCCATCAGCAATCAATAGTTTTAATTAATCATATATCTACTCTTCTTACAATCAATCAATTATGGGTTCTAGCTGGCTTTGTTTCTCCCTTAGTTTTCTTCTAGTGTTGCATGGTACCTTTGCTCAGCAAAGATACCAACAGCAACAAGGTCAGTGTCAGCTTAATAGACTTAACCCTCAGGAGCCAACTGTTCGCATTCAAGCTGAAGCAGGGGTTACTGAGTTATGGGACAAAAATAACCAACAGTTTCAATGTGCTGGTGTTTCACTCGTTAGACATGTTATCCAGTCTAGAGGCATGCTGTTGCCTTCTTACCTTAATACTCCTCTCCTTGCCTATGTTGAACAAGGTACTTTAACATTATATTCTTTCCCCTTTTTGATAATGATAAGGTCTACGTACTCTCTATTGGTTATGTTAGTTGTTGCATTGATAAATTGATTGTAACTAATTAATGTACAGGTAGGGGATTTTTTGGGATTATGAATTCTGGATGCCCTGAAACTTTCCAGTCATCACAGCAATTTCAGCAAGGTGAAAGGGGTGCAGGATCAAGATTCCAAGATCGTCATCAGAAGATTGGACAGTTCAAACAGGGAGACATTATTGCCTTCCCTGCTGGAGCTGCTCATTGGGCTTATAACGAAGGAAATGAGGAGCTTGTTCTTGTTTGTTTCGAGGATAGTGGTAACAGTGCAAACCAGCTTGATCAAAATTCAAGGGTATGTACGTTACATAAAGTTTAACAACATACTCAATCAAGTGAAGTATTAATTTTAATAAATAAATGAATCTGATTTTCGTTTTTTGCAGAGATTCTTCATAGCTGGAAACCCGCAACAAGGAGAACAGCAACAGGGACAACAAGGAGGAGCCCGCAGCTTCCAGAAAGAGCAATTCCAATCTGGAAATGTGTTCAGGGGATTTGAATTAGAGTTGTTGGCTGAGGCATTTGGCGTAAGTAAGGAAACAGCAAGGAAACTTCAGGGAGAGGAGGACCAGAGAGGCCACATTGTGAACATTGATCAAGGGCTTAGAGTTGTGAGACCACCATTCTCACAAGAACAAGAGGAGCGTGAGGAGAGACAAGAGCAAGGACAATACGGTCCTCGTGCAAACGGAATTGAGGAAACCATCTGCTCCGCTAAGCTCAGGCAGAACATCGATAACCCCTCTCGTGCTGATGTCTACAATCCTCAGGCTGGACGCTTCACCACTGTCAACAGCCTCACTCTACCCATCCTCAGCTTCCTCCGCCTCAGCGCTGCCAGAGGAGTTCTTTACAGAGTAAGCCACAACTTGCTATTGCTATTGCTACTCCCTGTGTTTAAATTTGCTTGTCTGATTTTAACTTGATATGAATCTAATGTGCAGAATTCGATCATGGCACCACACTGGTGGACAAATGCACACAGCGTAATCTACGTAACAAAGGGAGAAGCAAGGATCCAGATAGTTGATCACAGAGGACAAGCAGTGCTAGATGACAGAGTAAGACGGGGGCAAGTTGTGATAGTGCCACAGAACTTCGCCGTGGTGAAACATGCCGAAAATGAAATCTTTGAGTGGGTCGTATTCAATACCAATGACAATGCCATGATCAACACACTCAGTGGCCGTACTTCTGCTATTCGAGGATTACCCGTGGATGTGATAGCCAATTCTTACCAGATTACAAGGGAAGAGGCAAGGAGGCTCAAGTTTAACAGGGAAGAAACTCTACTTTTCAGCTGTTCAGAAAAATCTAGCCAATATGGGAGAGTTGCTGCTGCTTAATTACAACATTTTGCTTGCTTTTTTTCCCCTATGTAATAAGCTAAGCTAAAAGCGTACTTAATAAAACAGAGGACCTTATACGGTCATCTTTCTAATGATGTAATGGCAACAGTTATGTATATCTATAAGCGGCAAGTTCTTGTACCTTGGCAAATAAAAGGAGCACTACGCTTTCGCCTTTTTTTGAGCTAATTTGGACTGTCTTCCTTTTTTCGAACAACAATGGTATAATTGATAGGTGAACATCAAATTATAGCATCGAGTTAGAAAAAATAAGAAGAAATTTCATTCTTTTGCCAACATAATCTGAATGAAAAGAAGTATTATCTTAAATATGCAGAAGTTTTATACTACTTATAAATCAGCTGGAGCCTGGATTGTTTGATTATTCTTCGATCAAAGTACACAATGAACTAAATAGCTTCAGACCTATTGATTAAGCCAACTCACAAAGATGTGTTTTATTGATTATGCTAGATCTCAAGGACTACATAGGCTTTGATGTATTTTCATTGGTTTTCTTCTTCTTTTTCATTTTTGTAACATTCACAAATGAAGTATTAAGTGAGTTTCGATATACATATATTTGTGATTTGAATGTTTGTGAAATTCTTTATTATGAATGTTTATTGCATATCCATTGTGAATGTTTGTTGTGCATTCTACATAAGTGACCACTTCCATCAATTTAGTGTTGATAGGAAACGAAACGAACTTTAAAGAGATTATCATAAGAATAATTTATGTTGATAGGAAAAGGAAATTATCATAAGAACAAGTAATAAAAAAAGGTCATTACAATGTTTTGATTGTGAAAATAAGCTTTACCTGTTCCATATTCAGAGTCGGGTACGAGTTCATGCTTACGAGTAGAGTAATTTTAGTTTAGAAGCAAATGGAGCTTGATTAACATTTGTACAATATTATCTTGTGATATAAAAACAGTAAACTCCATATGAAAATAAGATACTGTTGAAGGACACGTTTTATATTATGTGTGCAAATATTGATAAAAAATGGAGTAATTAACACAAGTTTTATCTCGACTATTGTTGTGTGATACTCAATTGAATACCCTCACGATTTCTATTATCAACTTGAAATCTTGGTTCAATATTTGCTTTGTTACCATACTATCAAATGATCATGAGAGATTTGATATAGGTGAGTTGATTTTGAGTCGAGAGGCGAGTGAGAACAGGAAGATCATTGATTAAATCTCATTCAATTTGTGTTTGTTGGTACCACTTATGAATCATAATTTCACTCAGTAACAATAAGGCAGGAACTTTATTGATTTTAACAAACGCCTCGTACAAGTTACACTAGGTACTAATCGACATTGATGCCGTTTTAAGAGGACCTTCGTTGAGGAGATAGAAGGAGGCTCTCTCCTCCCCTGTTTATCTTCAAGCGTTGTGCTTCATTTGGCGATATCTGGTACGCGTTTGTGAGGACCTCAACAGGCATTGCTCTAATCACTGATGTGTAACCTGCAAGTTGATTGTTCATTGGTTGACTACTTGTCCTAAACACCACAAATTCAAATCCATTCTCCCCTGCTTTAATCGTTGCGGGGAAGTACTGAGGAGCCACAAACATTTCTCCTTGATTCACCTTGTCGTTCATCACTTGTTGCCCGGTCTGATCTACTACCTGCACTTGTGCGTCTCCTCTTTCAACGTATACCACGCTGTGGCCAGTCAATGTCCAATGAGGGCTCATCAATGCATTCTGCATCCACCAATTAAGTACAATTTCAATCAATTTAAGTCATACTAACAGCAGAAATTTTTGGAAAAGAATGATTGATTTAATTACTGGATAAATGGTTCCTTTAGACGCACTCATGTCAATGTATTCAAGGATGGGAAGTTTTTGGCGACCAACATGGTTAACTTTGCCGGCTTGCCTTGAGAAGATATCAGCTCGTCTTTGAGTTTCTATATTGGTCCGGATTTTCATTGTGCAAATGTTTTCTTCTAAGCCATTTCCAATTATTTCCTCCCGCCATTGTTGTCCTCGTTGTGGTCGCCCTTCTTCTTCTTCATCGGGCCTAATAATGCTCATTCCTTCCCTCACATTGACAATTGTTCCACGTTCGATCTGTTCTTCTTGCATCTTCCTCACAATCTCTGTGGGGATGTTGAAGGCCTCGGCCAGCAATTCTGTGTCAAAAGCACGGAAAATGTTCTGGAACTTCTGTGTCCTTTGCTTTCTTAGACCAGTTTGAGCTCTTTGGCTTTCACTTTCTTGTACTCCACCGGCCAAGTAAAATGCCTAAAGTCCAAAACATAGCCAACCAATATATAAACAAATTATGTGAAGTAGGTTAAAACTCATTATATATGAAGTTGCATCATGAACAAAAAATTCACTAAATTGTAGAAATTGGCGTGAAAGATTTTACCCTGAAGTTCTGATCAAGCTGGTTGGATCGATGGTTGAGGTCGTTAACCGCTACAGCTACGAGCTCTTCCTCACCGTCGTTATAGCACCAATGAGCAGCACCAGCTGGAATTGCCACAACATCACCTTGGCGGATACGGTGGACTTTCTGGTGCTGGTCGCCTCCGCAGCCTTGGCCCCTCTCTTCCCTTGGCTCTTGGCCGGCATGGAAGGTCTGTGACTGGAAAGTCTCAGCACAGCCAGGGTAAGTAATGCCAACTATTCCCTGTCCACGCTGGATGTAAACCAAGCGAGGCATGGGATGAAATTTAGGAAGAGAAAGAGAATTACGGTGGATAACAATCCTCATAGGAGCAACTCCAGCGCACTGGAATTGCTCCTCGTTCTCGTCCCATAGCTCAGTGAAGCCGCCCTCTGACTCAATTCGATCAGAGGGCTGGCTTCCAGTAAGCCTCTGTAAGCGGCATTGTTGAGCTTGAGTCAGACGAGTGCCTCCCTGACCTTGCTGACCCTGATACTCTCTTATTGCATTTGCTGCAGACAAGAGAAAAGGAAAGAACAGTATAGCTAACAAGAGCCTAGTAGTGACCGCCATTGCTAATTAGGATATTTTTTATTGTTAATTAAATACAAAGATGAGATGAGATTGGAAGAGACTGAGGCCTCTGTTCTTATAGTGTTGGAGGGTAACAAGTAGGAAGGCCGCGTGGCGATTATACGGTTTTCTTTTGCATGGTGAAGCTGTCTTCATCTCAGCAAATGAACGACACTTTGCCATGGTTGTTCATAAAATACAATCACTCCATTCAAATGACCTGTATTAGCTTTTGATGTTTGTTTTTTTCTGGGCTTAAATGTTACTCATCCTAGTTTCAAAAATGCTTCATTTGCCTTCTTGTGAAAAGAAATAGATAACAGAAGACGTTAACATCTACGATTTCAATTGCTTATTAGTACAATTTTTAAAGCATCAACCATGATCTCTGATTTTGACCTGACATGAAAGTTAAGATCGTAAAGAACACTTTTGAATCTTGGTTTTAATTAACCATGTCATGTGGAGAGTTAGAATTAAAGAGTTGACAAAATGGAAAGAAACATTCTTTTTATAAACGGACTAAAAAGAAAATTAAGACAAACAATTGAAACACAGGGAGTAGTATTTAAGATTAGATATATGTATGTACAACTTTCTTTTATGGCCTAAAGTTTTTTTTTCTTTTTTTGCTCTCTTTTACAATAATTCAGAAAAATGGGAGTAGGATAGAAACTTAAAACAAGATAACTGAGAAGAAAAATGTTAATTACTTTAGGCACATATACATTGGTACACTAGGCTTAGTCTTGTATCTGTAGAAGGCAGTTTTCTTCTTGTAAGTAGGATTATCAATAGTGATAACTATCCTCCCTTCTTCTCTAATATGAAAAGAATTCCTTACACTCTCCACCATTTTCTTATCTTCTTGAAGCATTACTCTGTATGAACAATCATCATCTGGTATGAATTCTTCTTTGTAACTCACTTCATTCCCCACCACTATCAAATCCCAAGTTATCGTCACCTCAACCTATAAGAATTAATACACGTATTAGCAATGCGTGGATCCATAAATGGACTTAAAAGGAAATGAAAACTAGGCATTGCAGCAAATACTACCTCTTTGACAGGCATTTTAATGAGGCAAAATGAACATGGTTTGATGCTGATCTCTAGAACTTTGTCATCAGTTGAAAACTCAACATCCTTGTCCTTTTTGAGTCCACCATATTCAGCTAATAAGTTCTCTGGGCTAATGTACCTATATATATACATGATACAAGAAAATTATCAATCCAACACAAATCATTGAGCAAATTAAAAGAAAAGCTTACTAATCCCTCTGTTTCTATTTGTTTGTCTGATTTTGACTTGACACGGAGTTTAAGAAAATTAAACAAGGACTTCTGAATTATATAGTCGTAATATGAAGGAATGTAAAATGTGTCAACCTATCCTTCAATCTTGTAGTCTTAAACATGTGTTTCATATGGAACTAAAGAATTGTCGAAAAGGGAAGACATTCTTTTTTAAATAGACTAAAGAGGGAAATAATACAAAATAAATTGAAACGAAAGGAGTAATTACTTGAGAAGGGTCTCTGTAACTTTAGATGGTTTCACAAATATGAAGGCGTTCTTGCTTCTTTGTGTGATCATTCGCAGGTTAAGTGCATGAACCGTGGAAAACCAAACAGGAACATTAATAAATATCTGCAATATCACCATCAAATTTTCAATCCAAAATCACATTTCAAGAAAATTCAATCTAATTATTCAAACAATTAAACAAGAAAAAAGGGGAGAAATTTCGCGTACATTCTTGTATATGATTCCAGGATAATGATCATGAACCAAGCTCATCATCTTCCTGTTAATCCAACGAACCTCTTTCCAAGCATTTCCCGGTGAATTTCCTAAATCTGTAATCATCAAAACAGAATTAACCCCTCCTTGTTTAAATTCAAGCTGTTGAATTGCCTTCTCCAAAATATGTATCCTCCATCTAAGACACTCATGATGATGATTATGCCTTCCCCAAATCTCCTCTTCCAATTCTTTATTCTTGATATTCTTAAACACATTATAACATAATAACCTTCCTTCCCTATCCTTACCATCATCATTGTACCACAATTTCTCCAGGTCAGGACTAAATAATTTTTCATCAAGAATCTCCGTAACTCTAAATTCCCTCCTCCATCTCAACGTCTTCCTCATCATCTTATACGCATCATACACACCATAATCCTTAGCTTTCAAGAAATTCAACAAAACAATATCCGTCCTCGTGTTATCTTCACTTGGTAATAATGGAACACCCCATAATGAAATTCCAGTCAAATCCTCTGTTATGGTTTTAACAGAGAGAGACTTGTTTTTGTTTTTACCATAAATGTATCCACCAAGAATGGCATCTTCCACCCTACATCTTAATCTAAGCAACGCGTTTTTTCTTGAAGCTTTAATGTCGAGAGGAGAAACTAATTGACCAGGCTGATCAAAAATAGGTTGATGATCATCATCATCATCCAAATGATCGTCTGATTCTGTATCATTGTCGCTGCTCATGATATCATCAACAATGTCTTCTTCAGCGACAGGAACAACAACTTCCTCCCGCATCCTTCAAGAAAGTTAATTAATATTAAGAATTTGATACACAATGAGATTAGGCCATATCAAAAAAGTCTCTTGTTTTTCCCCTCTGGTTTATGGAATCAATAAACCAGAGGATGTGATTATGTTTTTTTTGTTCAAAAGAGTCATATAAACTACTAATACTTAAAACCATTGATATTATTGGAGCTAAGAGGACCATCCACATATTATAAATGTTTGACCATCATTTGGATATTTCTTTTTTATTGTGTGAGTGTGGGTGGGAGAGGGACATTTTGGATTTTCCTTTTTATGTGTCTTTCTCAAGTCTAGTCACTACATACGTGCAAGCACGTAAAGTAGTAATAAACTATATTTGGTAACAAAAACCTTTCGTATCGTTTAATTTGTTCACATATATTGCTTTAAAACTATACAATACAAATTAAACGATACGAAAAGTTTTTGTTAAAAACAATAACCCCCCTTCCTGGCCTTATTTTGATACATTTTTTTTTCATTGACCAATTATTTGGTGCTTTTTATGAAAAAATATATGGTATTATTCTGGATACATTTCAAAAAAAAAAATTATTGAGAAGGGGATACTGCAATTGTGAAGGATTGATTCACGATCATGAAGAAGGGGCTTGGACAGATTAAAATCCTAATTTCGAACCTATTTGTTTGTAACAAGGTTTTGGGAGTTTTAGACCTTGATTTTTGGTGTTTTTTAAAAGAAACTTTCATGATTTCTAGTGTTTCCACAAAAGAATAACGATGAAGTACCACTTCAGGAATTATAATTTGAAATCCCATGATCTAGTAGTTATTACAATCTGATGTTTGCAAACTATGTCTAGTAATACATATACACAAAACAGACGTACTTGTTACTAAAAACAAACTGCAGAACAACATTAACTTGTAAACTATAAGGGAGAAACAAGAAACACTACAACACCTTGTTTGCCTATTCTAATCAAGCATTCTCCTCTCCTGAAATACCCGGCTTTACAACCTCGTGGAGTGACTGATTGCTATCTCCTTTTGTAGGTGCTACAACATGACTTTCACTTGCATTTAAAGACAGCTTCTCTAAATTGGCTTCACTGGTATCAGCAAGATTAGGCAGGCCACTTTCATTTTCGGGTGTTTTAGGCGGTCTTTCTCCAGACTCTGGAGCTGTGTTGGGCAGGCCAGTTCCATTTTCAGGTGTTTTAGGCAGTCTTTCTCCCGAATCTAGAGCTGCTTCCATTTCCTCGTACCTAGAAATGACTTGTCGAAGCTCATCGTGAAGATTTAAAGCTTCAAACATCAACCCCTCATCACCTGAGGTTGATTCCACAATTCTTTGTATAACTGCCAAAGACTGCTTGCAGTTCTCCAACATGCTCATTGTCAGATCATCCTTCAGCAACACAAATTTATCAGTTCATTCATGTCTCAAAGGTTACCCCGCCCATCAGAAGGCCAAACTGATAGACACAGAGAATTTCATTTTCTTCAATGGAACATAAACAGTTAAATCACACACAAAACGGGAAGTTTTGAACAACAGAACGTCTTTTGTGAAAATTTAGTAACACGGCTCGATCAACTTGATGTTTTGGCAGATTTCCAATTGTTTTAATGTCAATTGACCTTTACATTTATCGTCCTTTGGGTGATCTTAGTAGTAAATATGTCTAACTATGCTATTTACTTTTTTTTAGAATGCCTATGCCATTTACTTTTGTTGTTTAGAAAGCTAGAGAAATGAATTGGAGCATTAAAAAGAACAACTTGGACTGAAAAGAAGCAAAATTTGAGAAAAAAACAAGAAGAAGTGCTATACTCGCGGTATAGCACAAGTATAGTGGAGAGTGTAATTTTCCTAAGCATGGAAGAGAAGCGCAATGTATAAATTCCGAGAGAATCTATGTATTATTTCATGCAAAATAGAAGGTGGAATAACTAATACATAAAATAACTGCATAACTTTAACCAACAACCAACGACTTAATGCATTATTTATATCTCTACCCCATAGAAATATATAGGGTTTGGAATAACTTGAAAAGACAAGTAGAAATCTTCTAGTTGTAGATTAATAGTCGAGATAAAGTAAAGATTCAAATAATTTGAAAACTTTAGCAGGATTGTCAGGAGAACACCATAACTATAGAAGCGTTCATTCATCATAATCATCAATCTTCAAGCGTTCATTTATTTAGTTCATGATTATTTGCAATTCTTAGTTTTTCAAAAGTCAACAAATGACCTTCTAACCTTTCTTACTTAGATGTTAGAATAATTTAATTTAGTAAAAAGTTAATCAAAAGTCCCCGTAGAAACGACACTTGATTCACCCTTATTATTTATTGATTGTGCATACTTGGATGTGCGTTTGAGGACAATACAACTCACTAGTGATGTGATTAGAATTAAGCATTAATCCCATTTGTAGGTCAATTT